TCTAAAGTAATATATACACAGGGATCATGTCCCCAACAAAAAGAATTATCCAAATATAAAGGGTGCCCCAGAATTTATTATATATTTATATCAAATCAGACGAATCTATTAATATAATGTAAATAACGAGTTAAAATTAGTCGACTTATGGGTGTCAACCAACAAGCTCACGGCAAACTTAGAAAAGACCTACTATTTGGTAGCAAGTCATTGAACCCAATACAGCTTCAGACAGACCATGCAAACTTTAATAGCAGAACTGAAGGGAAGTTGCTTGGCTTATACAAAGACAAATCAACACTCACATGGCCAAGAAAAAGTATCTAAAAATCTTGGTATACTCTTTAAAATCAGGTATTATGTCCCTCTCTTCCCCCCCTCCCCACACTCTGTTCTTTTCACACTATACTACTCACTAATCTATCTCTATCTAACTTACAGGATCTGTGCATGGAGTTCAACCATTGCAAATTACCTCAAGCCCATCATCCCGCAGAAAAACAACACGTACACAGCCCCTCTGTTCAAATCCTGAACGTGATAAACATACACTCCATTTATTCTCTCGTATTATTTACATTTACCAAATCCTCAATTCTAATCCTGTACCGAAACTCTTCCTAAATGGATGTAATATATCCCATGAACATCACACCAGAACTTAATCTCGCTGATATTCCCAGAGTCGGACTAACTCTACACAAACACGACATGCAAATAAAAGAACCAAGTATATGGAACTCCCTTCCTAATGAAGTAAAAAACTATTCAATCTATTCTTTATTCAAAAGTAGAATACTGAAGTACCTACAGTTTCATCACCTCAGTGAACACCCCTTCCTGCTAACTCACCCGCTACTTTACTATACTCAAATCCAACTACACCAATATAATTTCTTTTATCGCCACTTTATATTGATATTGATATAGTAGTTACAATCACAACTACAAGTAGTTACAAGTAGTCACAAGTAGTTACAAGTAGTCACAATCGACTTGAGAATGATCCAGGACGGACCGAAACGTCGTCGTCCCTTCACATTCTAGTGTGTGGTCTGGTCATTATATAAATTCAATTTCCGTTATCATAAACCTGTCATTACATTTATTTTATTCAGAATTGACTACTTAATTTAACCTAAATATAAATTCATTGCAATTTTTTTGTTACCTTTAGGACCTGCCCGAAGCGCAGTGCGTGCTTGTGAGTTTGCAAGAATGTACTAAATCACCAACATGTGTACTGTCACAACCATTGTTCTTGTATATAAATAAATAAATAAATAAATAAATAAATAAATAAATAAATAAAAATGTAGAGTGTGGATCATATGTCCGTCTCTCAGTCAGTGAAGTTAAGCACAGTTGGGACTGACAAGTTCCTAGATGGGTGGCTACTAGGACAGTCTCTCTCTTGTCTAGGGACACCCTTATATACCGAAAAGATTTCTTGTTCCTCGGAGCGGATTACCAACACGCAGCAATGGTTGCGACAAAATTGTTACCCCTTTTGATACAACAGCTTTATCGTTTTCTTTGAAGCTATTGTGTAGAAAACGAGTTGCAAATATTACAACAGCGCTAACGTTAGAAAATAATATACTTGTAATTGAAAAAGGAAGTAAAAATCCAAGCCAAGAATCTAAAATATGCCATCTGTAATCAGTACAAACATTACCAGAGTCCACTATAACTGGAGGCCTCCCCCGGCGCGGGTGTGGGGAGTATAATATACAAATTCTCAGGGGGAATTGACAGGTAAACAAAGATGGATGATTTAACACGGGTGGTACACACACAAGGGGACACAGGTGGAAGCTGAGTACCCAAATGAGCCACAGAGACGTTAGAAAGAACTCTTTCAGTGTCAGAGTAGTTAACAGATGGAATGCACTAGGAAGTGATGTGGTGGAGGCTGACTCCATATACAGTTTCAAATGTAGATATGATAGAGCTCGAGAAAGTCATGAATTTGTACACCAGTAAATTGACGGTTGAGAGGCGGGACTAAAGAGCCAAAGCTCAACCCCCCGCAAGCACAACTAGGTGAGTACAGATACCAGAGGTAAGATGATCAACACCTGTATAACTTGATAAGCTTGACGAGGAGCTCCCACCTCATAACACACACACACAATGATTGGGAATGTACAGAGGTTTCGGGCAAGGCTGGCCGATAAGTGCCAGCCAGCCTTATTATTAAGTGCCCTCACTTAATAATAAGTGAGGGCACTTATTATTATCAGCATCTGTATTTTAACAAAATTCACTGAAAGTTGCACAACAGGTAGGAGCAGCAGTAAAAAAATAAAAATAAGAAGCTAGCCAAATTCTTGGAATAATTTAGCGTACCTTTAACTTTAAGGTAAAGAAAATTGTGATTCAATTGTATAAATCTCTGGTGCGCCCCATACTGTATCCAAGCTTGGAGACCACAACTAGGTGAGTACATCTTCAGAAGGACATAGCTGCTCTGGAGAAAGTGCAACACCGGCCAACAAAAACCATTCCAGAACTAAGTCAACGTTTGTATCAGGAACATTTGAGGGCCACAGGACTAACAATGCAAACCAGGCATGATAGAGCGGATCTCATTAATACTTTTAAAATACTGAACAATTTGGAGGATGCTGATCCGGACAATTTCTTCAAATGGTCAGATGTAACACAAATAAGGAACAATGGTTTCAAGCTCCACAAGCCACAATGTAGGACTGAGAACAGGTGATGCTTTTACACCCACAGGGTTATAAACCCATGGAACCGCCTACCCTCTGAAGCCGTAAACGACAAAACTCTGGTAAATTTTAAAATCCAACTGGAAATGCTCATCAAGGCAAACGGGGGGACAAAGATTGGAAGAGACCAAACTGAGTACCTACACACTGGGACCCTGACGACAGGCTGTGTTGTGATGAGCGCGGGTACTTGTCTTCTTTTCATATAATATATGGCAATAATACTTTATATCATGTTGTACATTTTAGGCCGAGGCTACGTATGGGGATTAGGTTCAGTTGACAATTGTTTGTATTTGGCAACCCGTCCTCGACTCAAGTCCATTACATCCAGCGGTCGACCCCACAGACGCATTCGTAAATTTTAACATGCTGTTCATTCAAAACGAGAATGTTCTCAAATATAAATTAATATTATAAAATATTAGCATATTGTGCATATATAGGCATAGGTTAGGTTAGGTTAGGTGTTTAGGTTCTGTTGGCGATTATTTGTATTTGTAGTACGTGGGTGAAGTATTTATAGCGTTGTGATTCAAACAAAATTCGACCATTTGGTCACCACTTGGTCCGGGAGACATCTCCCGTCACGCAGGGTGCAGTTGCGCCTCCACAGATCTCCAGTATCATCTTTTGATACTGGTAATGGCTCGAAAGGGCCACCACTTACGGGCTATTCATGCCCGTGCCACCTCTTGGGTGGCTTAATCTTCATCAATCAAACAAAATTCGTTAGTGAAGCACTTGTTCCGGAAGTGTTCGAACGCCAGCAGTTGTGATTCGTGTGTAAACCATTTTAAATTAATAAACAGGGGGTTTGGCGGGTGCATGGAATTCCTTTTGGGTTTTTGTTTGGAGTACGGGCTGTAGCTGCAGCCCGTCCTCCAAAGAACCTAAACACCTAACCTAATCTATCCTATGCCTATATATACACAATTTACTAATATATTATAATATTAATTTAAATTTGAAAAAAATCCTGTTTTGAATGAACAGAATGTAACTATTTATGACTGCGTCTATGGGGTCGACCGCTGGATGTAATGGACTCAAGTCGAGGACGGGTTGCTGTAAATGCCTCACCCACGTCCTACAAATACAAATAATCGGCAACAGAACCTAAACACCTATCCTAACCTAACCAGTTCCTAAATATGCACAATATTCTAATATTTAACAAAATTAATTTATATTTGAGAAAAGTTCTGTTGTGAATAAACAATGTTAAAATTGATGAATGTGTCTTTGGGGTCGACCTCTGGATAGAATGGACTTGGTCTGAGGACGGGTTAGGGGCTGTGGGGTGAAGCGTTCACAGAGTTGCGATTTGAACAGACGACGAGAGCGAGGCACTGGTCAAAATAGGTTCGAGCATTCTCAGTTGTGAGTACAGGCAGCTTTCATCTACAACAGCCCGTCCTAATCAACAAAAGCTAAATGCTTGTTAATCCAGCAGCCAGCCCCCCCCCCCCCCCCCGTTTATGAATGAAAAACACCTTACACACGACTCGGAACTAATGACATGCATTTTCCTCGAGCAGTGCTTCGTTCACGTCGTCTGCTCGAATTTCACCTCTATAATTGCTTCATCCACGTACTGTAAATATCAATAAAGGGCAACAGAACCTAACCACATAAGTTAGGCCGAACAATTCAACACATTGTTTATTACGGTATTCAGAGGAAAAGAGTTAAGCACAGATAACCCTCAAACCCGTGCCACCCTTCTTGTCAGTTTCGAAAAACATTACATAAAATAAACCTACCATAAAATATAATGAGCAATTTGGCCAGTAGTTGTATTCAACCGAAGAGGATGTAATACCGCCGTAAGTGTCACCTGCGATAAACTCAACATGTCCTAATTGCTTTTAATGTAAAATATCACGTTACCATAGATTGAGTCAAGACAGATGACGATCACGTCAAATGGACTGACCCAAAACTCGAGGCATTCTCGAACGGGTTCACTGAAGACCGCTACTCGAAATAATGAATCACCAACCAATACAAACCGCAACACTCAAGGGTACAAACAATGTGTTCGCCAAACGTTTGGCACAAGACGGCTCTGCCAGCCACAGGGTTCTACACATTCATTAAATTCTACTATCGTGCACTTGTTTAAATCTTATCTTTGTCTCGGAGACGTCTTGCAGTTGAAACGACTAAACATGGTTCACAATCTGCGCTTGAATCTGCCACGGAGTAATGAGTGAACAAGTAAACGTTCAGAGTTAACAGTGAGGTAACGAGGTGCGTGTCGTGGTCGTGCCCAGAGTGATCTGACCGCTGTCCTGTTAACTCCACGCTCACAACAACATTCTACAGGAACATCTGGTCTGGACTGGTCACCTCGTGCACATATATTTTCCGTTGGTTCCATACAGTCCTACAGAGATATAACATGTGAGTCTCGAAATACGATAAACGCCATGTCTATCGGGTGGCGACCAAGTTGTTGTCTATGGGGTCCTAGTGTGTTCCACGCTCTACGTGGGTGTTATCTGGTTGATCCCTGATGGTCCAGGTGGCTGGCCACCGTTCCCTCACCCGATCCTCGTATCCCAGCTCCTTGTTCTCGTATCCTGAAGTCCTATAGTCATACTGGCGTAACGCTTTCTCGTAATTCTCTTACCTTACCAGGGGCCACTGGTGAGACTGCAGTCCCCACTGTCTCCATCCGCCCTCGTGGGGTGGTCCTTGATTACTCCTCCACCCCTCCCCACCCCACGTTCTCCAGCCCCCCCGTGTAAAGGGGTGTCTTGTCCAGCTGTCCAATCCCCCATTTAGGGGGGAGGGGGGAGTCTCTCCGCACGGGAAAAAACTCATTGGGCACTTTTTCTATCGTCTTGTGGTAAACAGGTACCACCCGGGAGTTAGTGTGGGGTTGTATCGTGAGGAGGGTCGGTAGTTTAACTTGGCAGCACCTCGATTGATGATTAACTGATGAAGATTAATCCACCCAAAAGGTGAGCAGGGGCATGATTAGCCCGTAAGAAGCCCTCGATAAACGGCCTAACGTATAGACACAGGCAGCTTGTTTCCAACCCAATGAATTAAGAGTTGGTGGGTAGTGTAGCTTTCGCCGCGGGGCAAAGATAAATGGCGCTGGACTCCAGCTTTCAGTGATAAACATTCCACAGGCAGTGGAAAAGCTGCACTTATCAAAGTCTTGGTCGGGACGGCTTGATTATTCGCTAGTCCTTAGCTGTTCACCCAGCACTAATCGGATACCTGGTTGCAAACAGACTGGCGGGCCGTGTTTAAAGGGAGAAAGTGGGTAAGGCTTACAATGAGTTATGGGAAGCGAAAGCTCTGCAATGTCTATACCTTTACCCTTAGGTGGGAGTGGGTGAAGCTTCTAATGTTAAATTAATCATGGGGGACCACATTTTACTGTATATGGTAACCTATGGTACATGATAGTGTACAATATCGTCTTTCAATGACCTTTGTTCCCTCAGCACAATGACCTATATCGTCGCTTCGGTGTTGTGGCCATTGGTGGGCATCACGTCTTTCTGCTTATCTGTGTTTGGCGTCGTCTTAATCTGCTTCTTCCTAGACCTCTACAGGAACAGGGGTAACAAGGTGAGGATGGATAAACTTGCCTTATAGACCTGGGTATTTAAGTAGGTATATTTCGGTATTTAATGGTTTAAGTTTTGTATTTTCCTTGAATGCACTTTCTTAAATTTAATTTTCCCTCTTACTAACAAATTTTATCGCATTAAAGTTCAAGTATGTTTGAGACAAGAAATACATTTCAAAGGGATAGCTTAGGCTATTTCTACCCTCTTATCGCATTCATTTTTTTTTTTTACTACAAATTGGATAAAAAGGGCAATTGTAAAGTGGTTTTTCATTGGCAGGAAGAGCAGGCGGTGTGCTCGACCACAGGTAGCAGCGTAGAGGTGCTCACCTTAACCTACCTCCCCTCAACTTCACTGGGTACGTCTTGTCTTCATTTCTCTACGTTTAAATGATTAGGTCAGAGTTCAGTAGTTTCAATGGGTAGTATGATTGTGTAATTTCACAGGGCTACCAATTTCGGTAAATTCTTTCATGTTTCCTTTTCCATTTTACAGGATTTCACGAGACTGACGAATTTTTGGTTCGAAATAATTCCCGGTCGAATCTCCCTCTTCACGGAACTCCGTTGAGGTGCTCGGCGCTCTTGCCAAGAGCCAGGTACTCTCCTGGCTTCGGAAGATTGAGTGAGGTGACAAAAACAAATGAAGATAATCTGCCTTTTCCTTCGAAATTCGGTTGCGAAAATGAACCATGGGCGTTCACAAACTTGGGGTTCAACGATAGCGATGATAGGGTTCACTTGCAGGTTCCGGACGAGGACGTGGGGTCGGGTCGTGTCAGGTCCTCACCGCTGGGGAAGGGAGCAATCGCAAAGAAAGGTGTAAAAATCCTGGTTGGTGGGAATCGTTCGGAAAAAATGCCAAAACTCGACAATACCAAGAAGGTAGAGAAGCGGCTACCAGTTGGAGGGAGACCTTTGGAGAAGGCAAATTTAAAATCTGCTCAGGCCTCGTGCTCGCTCGTCAATCCTGGCGGAGACGGCTCTAATAACTCTTCGTCAATTATGGCAGCGTTGGACGACTACGAGAGCGACCTCACTGACCAACTGCAGGACTTAACGGACGACGATAGTGTGATAAAGTTTAAGAGTGAAATTAAACTTGCGTTTAAAGATGTGGAAGACGAGACGCCAGAGAAGCCAGTCCACTCTGGATGGTTTAAGGAAGAAAATGACGCCCCTTGCAACACTTTTAAAAGCACCGTGTTAAGTGGGAAAAGAATCTTGAGTGCCAAAGGTCCCTCATAAGATCTCTACAGGTTCTGATGATCTCGCTCAGCACAGTGAGGTGCAGAAACTGTCTTGGTTTATCAATCCTTTAAATGTGCCAGGCGTGATACCTAATTTTTTATTTTGGACCCACTTGTTATATTATAATGTATATGTGAATAAATTTTTTTAACTTTTTAATAATTGATATATTCTTGTCGAAAAAATATTGGTTATAATTGAAGGAGCCAGGTGGGTATCCTGTACTTTTATGCTGAAGATGCTTTACTTATGTATATAGCTCCATGTGTAGCTTTGGTCTTTAGATACACATTGTGGTACTAAGCGTGTAGGACCGAGCACGAGATGCCAGTCATCTTGACACAGGTCGTGCGGCTGGTCCAGTGTAGAGTCGCTGCTGCTCCACGCCAGATGGCCACCGACGCCGTGGGCAAACTTGACCATTTAACGGCTAATAGTTGCAGCAAAAGTTTGTGTTAAACATAATGTATTATCAGTGGAAAGGGCCGTATCCTCGAGGGTCGTCTGCAACATGTTTTCAATAGTTAAAATGAGAAAATTGTAAATAGTGGAAAATACGCTTGCGAAATGCTGTTTTTTTTCCCAGTTAGAATGCATTTGTCAATAGCCAGTAAATGTTTGGCCTTGTGTACGACAAACATTACAAAATGATTCTTTGGTAAACTCGCGAATTAGTGCTCGCTTGCTTTAGGGATCGTAACTGGAAACATTTTAATGTGTTTTTGCTGCCTCTTAAAACTTTGATGCACTTTGTTTATAGTGAACATCTTGTGGAAGCGGCGGCGACGATGATGGAGTAGTTTGTTCGCCAGTAACTAGGGCTGGTGGTGGTTTATAAAGTTTTCCTGACAAGTAATTTTAACCAACTATTAAAAAAAGACTGAATTTCTGGTAACCCAAATTGGTAGAAAATTAGTTTGGGCGTTTGGCATGAGGAGAAATATATACTCTGGTGCTTGCCATTGGTGAACTAGTGTTGTGTAATTACTCGATCTGACATTATGCACAAAAATAAAACTTCGCTTGCTAATTTCTGGTTCCGCGCTGTTGATTGATTTAGTCATTCATCATGCATTTCATAACCATACCGTGGTCGGTGATGGAAAGGGTTAGAGGTGCAAATGAGCTGCTGAATGGGCTGATTTAGTTTTATTTTTGTCAGATTTGTTAAACCAATCAGTTTTTTTTTGTGGGGGCCGGGGGGGGGGGGGGGGGGGACAACGTTCGCTCTCCGCAAGAGCCACCAAAGTTGGTTATTAGAACACTTTCTTTGAGGAAAGTTCTAACATGTGTGATGGAGGAGACAAACCTGATCACTGTGAATGAAATGGCACAATACGGCAGGTGATCGTAAGTAATTGTCTGCTCTATTCATTAAAAGTAATCGCGTAAATTACGCATGTCGCAGCATCAGCGTCCCCCCCCCTCCTGATCCCTAATCACCACTGGAGAGAATCACCAGAGATCTGCAGATAATCTGATCCTTTTAATTTGATGATTTAGGGTGGGAGGGAAGGGGAGCTGGAGCCCTTTGAATACATAATATAATAACCGCAGTTAATGGGAAAAACTAATGCGCTGATCTTGAAGACATCCAGATGTTCCCTTTCCAGCAATTAGTCGTCAATTAGCAAAATTACAACTTCCTAGCCCGGCCCCCGGAGCAGGCGAGGCATCCTACCCGAGCTCCGATAGCAATTAAATTTAATTAGTTTATTACGAAATTAAAAACAAGTATATGAAATTTTGTTGCCTTTTATACATAAATTTAAAAATACAACTTATTTAAACAAGTTTTTACATTAACAATAAAATTGGATTAAGTAACTTAAAAGAAAACGCACGCGTAGTCCAGTTATGAGTCTAAGACCACTTTGATTCCGCGGTTCAGAACCTCTGATCTCCGGTTAGAGGTTCACAAATCTGACGTCAATTGAGTTGTTCTCTGAGGCTGCCCAGATGCTCTTTTGCTGGATGTCGAGACCGAGCAGTTCCAGGTATGAACCATGTTCTGGTAACGATACATTCACATCAGATCTACCTCAACGACGTTGACTCGTTGGTACATCAACACCAGTTAAGTCTGCTGGCAGGAGAGCCTACCAATACGTAATCTCATCCTTGTTGTTTACTGAATGTTCGTCGAATACTGCAGACTTAATGTGATGATTAACTTCGGTCTAAACATACTTTTAGAGCATAAAAGTTCACTACATATGGAAAATTTCTCAATCTTTCCACTCGTGGTCAAAATAAAATAAAATGTCCGGACTACATCCTAAATAGTTGCTATATAAGGATTTAAGCCAGGAACCAGGAGTTTTAAACCCCTTAAGTTATTCAGCGCCGCGCGCGTGTGTGTCTCGTGTTCTGTTAGGTTAACCAGGGTTATCCTTCCAGTGCTCTCGTTCCTCAACTGAAGTCAACATTTTTCTTGCAGTCTTGGGAAGCCTTGAGGCTACTTGCTACCACGATCCTGCTCTACTGCAGCCGTAAGCTCTTTAAGACAAATCTGTTAACTTCTAGCTGACCTAAGCTGCAGTAAACTGTGTGTGTGTGTGTGTGTGTCGAATACCTTCACTTTGCATAGCTCGACCACTCCTGTGTGTACTTGCGGGGGTTGAGCTCTGGTTCTTTCGTCTCGCCTCTCAACGGTTAATCAACTAATGTACAGGTTCCTGAGCCTACTGGGCTCTATCATATCTACACTTAAAACTGTGTGTGGAGTCAGCCTCCTCCACATCACTTCCTAATGCATTCCATTTGTCTACTACTCTGACACTGTAGTGTCAGGGTAGTAGACACACAGTGTGTGTGTGTGTGTGTGTGTGTGTGTGTGTGTGTGTGTGTGAAAAAATTGTGTAACTTCCCTCACAAGATTGTTACAAGCTTAGCTAAATGAACTATGGGGGGATTAGATCCTGAACCGATTATGTGCCTCTGTAACCCTTTTCACCACCGCCCACGGGATGGGTATGAGGTGCATAATGAATGACTAAGCTTGAGAAAAAACTACGTATTCTTAATCCTTGGAGTGTGTGTCCACAGAGCTTGGTGATGCCAGAGGCACAATGTCGGGCACGTGACCCCGATTCTGTCTCTTGCTCTAGTCTTCCAAAGAACTTCCAAAGTCGTTTCTGAAACGACTTCCCATAAAGCTTCTTGAAAGTCAAGTCAGACATGCCAGCCTGGAACTTTTGTAAACCAGAAAATAAAAGTTTTACTAGAATTTTGTTTAAGTGGGTAGTAGTGTGGCAGTATTATTTTGGAACTAGCTATGACAGGCCCAAGGTTGGGAACACAGGCGCTATAGCATGCTAAGATGCATGCAGTCCCCGTGGTGCAGTGGTTAAGACGCTAGCCTGGCGTTTCGCGAGCGTTTTGTTCTGGGGTCCCCCCTCCCTCCTTTTTAGGTGGGGGGGGGAGACGCAGGGGGAGGAGTGGTGAGCTGGGGGGAAGGGTGTCGGGCAGGGGGTGGGGGGTGATGGGATTCGGTCTGTTATTTAGTTTGGTATTGGGCTTTAAGTTCATAAGCTGTTTTTCTTTTTAGTATAATTGGAGAGTTACAAGTGAAGGAAGAAGAGCATAAATGGGGAATGTAACATGACTTACGATAGCAGGTTGGCTGTCCGCCTTGCTGACACGATACAGGCGGGCTGTCCGTCTTGCTAACACGATGTGTGTGATAGCTATGTTGAAGGCTAGGAATAACTCTTCAGCCAGACCATCTACCTTACAGGGTAGACGCACATCGCAGTCTTACCAAACATATTGAACAGAATAGAAAGGCCACCGTCCCCTCCTCCCCTATCTTCCTCCCCATCTCCCAGGACGGCAAACATCTCTAGGTCTAGAAAATGGCTAAAGTTTAACTCGGAAAAGTGTAAAGTAATGAAATTAGGCGAAGGGAGCAGGAGGCTGAACACAAGGTACCATCTGGGAGGTGAAATCCTGCAAGTCAAATAGAGAGAAAGATCTGGGGGTTGACATTACACCGAACCTGTCCCCAGAGGCACACATCAAAAGGATATCATCAGCGACATATGCTAGATGGGCCAACATAAGAACTGCCTTTTAAAACTTGTATTAGGAATCGTTCAGGACCCTGTATACCACTTATGTCAGACCAATCCTGGAGTATGCAGCTCCAGCCTGGAGTCCATACCTAGTTAAACACAAAACAAAGTTAGAGATGATTCATAGGTATGCCATCAGACTAGTTTCAGAACTGAGAGGTATGATCTAAGAGGAAAGGCTACGGGAGCTTTTTTTTTATTTTTTGCAGGGATATTCCAGCGCGGGCCCTAAGCCTCTGGCTGGCCCACTAAGTGTTGCTTGTTTCTGTTTTACTTGGGCGGAGTATGAGTATTTATGACTCGTATGGTCGCTTCAGTAAGATTTTGCCCCATGTGTTTAACAACTTCTTCTGCTCTGTTGAATCTAAGTTGAAATCTTAATGGGTTTGTAACTGTGCACTGTGTTAGATAATGTTCCAGTGGTCTGTCGGGCATTTCTCCAGTGTTGACATTTCCGCTGGAGCTGCGGGAGCTAAACCTCACGTCCCTGGAAAACATAAGGGTAAAGGGAGACATGATAACCACCTACAAAATTCTCTGGGAATTGGCAGGGTTTACAAATATAAACTACTTAGCATGGGTGGAACATGAACAAGTGGGAAACAGGTGGAAACCTAGTACCCAAATGAGCCGCAGAGACATTAGAAAGAATTTTTTCAGTGTCAGCGCAGCTTACGAATAGAATGCATTCATTCCATTCTTAAATTGAAAACATGCATTCCAGAATGCATGTGGTGGAGGCAGACTCTATTCACAATTTCATATGTAGATTTGATTGAGCCAAATAGGCTCCAGAAATCTGTACAGCAGTTGATTGACAGTTGAGAAGCGGGACCAAAGAGTCAAAGATAAAAGATTGGGGTAAGAGGTAGGAAAATGTAAAAGGCTAGCACAACTAGGTGAGTACACACACACACACACACACACACACACACACACACACACACACACACACACACACACACACACACATACACATACACATACACATACACACACACACACACACATACATTTACACACACGTTGGGGGTCTGGTAGCTGAGTGGACAGCGCGCAGGGCTCGTAATTCTGTGACCCGGGATCG